TTATTCTTCCCAGATTCCACAGATTTGTCAGGTGCGTTTCCATGTCAGTGTTTTTGAGGATATGGTTTGAATTTACTCTGATATTTCTTTTAGTATATAATGTCTTAGTTAATGATGTAGCTGTAGCTGTGTGTGTGTGTGTGTGTGTGTTTAAATATATATATACATACATATATATACATACATATATATATATACATATATATACATATATATACATATATATACATATATATATACATTTATATATATACATATATATACATATATATACATATACATACATATATATACATATGTATACATATATATACATATATATACATATGTATACATATATATATATATATATATATATATATATATATATATATATATATATATATATATATATATATATATATATATATATAATGTATTTATGTGTGACAATTGAAAATCCATCTCTTATATTCCTTCTTTATTTTTAACAGCATTTTGGAATTAGTCGCTTTCTTACCCAAAAGTTGAGCTGGAGCTTGGTGAACAAGTTCCCTCACCACAACTTCATTTGGGAAGGGCTGGATGGCAGCACTGTCCTTGCTCACTTCCCACCTGGAGACTCCTATGAAATGAATGTCAAGTGAGTGGCACAAAATTGATTTTGCAAATGGATATCTTGTAGTACTTATTCTGGAGTACTGAAGTTATGAATTACTTTTCATAGTTAAAGCAAGGGAAAAAGGCAAAAGACAGGGCCTCTTCCATACCAGAATTTATATCTATTTTTTTTTTAAGCCATAGATCCAGTTCTGAAGAATTTGATCGACTAAGCTCATGTTTTGACACCGCAGTGTTGACGAGGCCATAAAGACAGTCAATAATCTTGAGGATAAAGGTCGTGTCTCAACTTCCGCCTTCCTGTACGGCTATGGAGATGGAGGAGGCGGACCTACGAGAGACATGCTGGAGAGAGCCAGGCGACTGAAGGATGTGGATGGATGCCCAAAGTAAAGAGTGTTCCTTTCTGTTTTGAGAAGCCATGATCCCTGTTTGCTGAATAGGGAAATAGGGCCATTTACATAGGCTGATTATTTATCTATGGAGCTGTAGAATTAATTAGAATCATTCATATTTTCCTTTCTTTTTTTTCCTTTTTGGTTGAATGCTTTCTTAATATTGTTTCTGTGTTTATTGCTTTTTTATTACTTTTGTTATTAACCCATTTGCGCCAGGTGTCACGTATACATGACTTGCCCACTGTGAGTTTACTTGTTTAATTGTTTTTACGCATAGATGGCTACACTTGTACTTGTACTGCCTGTCTCCTCTGTTTACCCTTTTCTTTAATTTACGAAAATATTTTATGTTATCTTATTTTGCTATTACTAATGTTTATAACATTACAGTAATTATAATGTTTATAATAAAAATAACCATCGATATTCATAGCACTAGTAAAAATACATTTTCCCGCCAATTCAAGTCAATCAGGTAAGGCAGAGCCATCTATGTGTAGAGACATTTCACAAAAAATATAAAAAGTGAGCACAGCATTTTCCCCATTTTTTTGTTCATTTTTACCTGTCACAAATGGGTTAATGCCATTGTGGTTACTGTTGTCATTATAATTGTTAAGATTCTTATAGCTTTCTATCAAACTGTTGTTACATAGTGAAATATAATGGTAATCAAAATATTATTAGTATTATTATTTTTATTGTTATCATTGCTATCATCATCTTTATCATTATTATTATTATCCTTACCATTGATTCTCTCTCTCTCACTCTCTCTCTCCTTTTGTTTTTTATTGTCTATCTTCTTTGTCCTTTTTTCATCATCTGTTACCATGATCCTCCTCCTCCTCCTTTACCTCCATTCCATCCCCCACTTCTTTTTCTTCCTGTGAAGGATGGAGCACATGTCTCCTGATGACTTCTTCCGGCGTTTGGAATCGGAGAAGCACAACTTGTGTCGCTGGGTGGGAGAGCTTTACCTTGAGTTACACAATGGCACTTACACATCACAGGTAAGATATTATTACCATATAGAATGTTGTACTAAAAGTGCATTGTATTAAAAGTGTCACACTGATTTATATGAATACAGTTTGCATAGATCGACAAAATACAATATATTTGTATCCATGATTTTGATGAATATTTACTCGACAGGCTAACACTAAACGTTTAAACCGCGAGTGTGAATTTGCACTCAGGGATGCTGAATTGTTTCTTGCTATCACTGCTATGAAAGGTGGCCTAGACAGGCAAACAATATACAGGTAATATATATAAAGAATGATTTATGTATTATTTCTCAATTATGTATGTTGTGTAATCATTATATGATTAAAAAATATATATATATTATATATGTACATATATATATATATATATATATATATATATATATATATATATATATATATATATATATATATATATATATAAAAGAATGTATTTTTTCTTCTTCTGCAAAGTTGAATATCAATTTATACTTGTCAGATATCATAGGTGTGTGTATTTGTGTGCATGGGTTTTTGTGTGTTTGTTAGTCTGTCTGTAAGTCTATTGAGTTGATTAGAAGTAAGATGAAGCCAATTATTTGTTGACAAATTGCATTACCAGACACCATGATGCCCTTGTTGATGCCTGGAAGAAGGTCCTGCTCAACCAGTTTCATGATGTGCTACCGGGAACCAGTATTGGCATCGTGTACAAAGACAGTGACCAGCTCTACAGAGAAGCCTTGACTGCTGCTGCGAAGACCAGAGTTGCATGTTTGCCACACATAATGCATGGTAGGAGAGGTGATTGCATTTCTTCTTTCATGGTATATTAAAGTCATGTATTGATATTTTATTCCAGTTTACTTTGTTTTAATGTGTGGTCTTATTTTCTTTTTCTTTTTTTTAAATATTATTACTCTAGAGACATGAGGTCCCCCTTTTTTCTTCTTGATTAGAGTCTGCCCATCAAGGATCCAGAGAGCAAGCTGTGGCAGTGAACACTCTCCCTTGGCAAGTGCATCAGGTCATCAACCTCAAGGAGGACTGCGATGAACCGACCAGGAAGCGCATGCGGGTAGAAGGGGATCTGAATGAGGCTGCTGGTGGAGGCCACTATGTTGCCGTAGAAATGCAAGGCATTGGGTGGTCAAAACTCACCCCCATAAACCCTCCAGCTGTGAAAGTTTGTAAGTGGTTTGTTGACAGATTGATATATATATATATATAATATATATATATATATATATATATATATATATATATATATATATATATATTATATATGTATATATATATATATATAATATAGTTTAAAACCGCGAGTGTGAATTTGCACTCAGGGATGCTGAATTGTTTCTTGCTATCACTGCTATGAAAGGTGGCCTAGACAGGCAAACAATATACAGGTAATATATATAAAGAATGATTTATGTATTATTTCTCAATTATGTATGTTGTGTAATCATTATATGATTAAAAAATATATATATATTATATATGTACATATATATATATATATATATATATATATATATATATATATATATATATATATATATATATATATATATATAAAAGAATGTATTTTTTCTTCTTCTGCAAAGTTGAATATCAATTTATACTTGTCAGATATCATAGGTGTGTGTATTTGTGTGCATGGGTTTTTGTGTGTTTGTTAGTCTGTCTGTAAGTCTATTGAGTTGATTAGAAGTAAGATGAAGCCAATTATTTGTTGACAAATTGCATTACCAGACACCATGATGCCCTTGTTGATGCCTGGAAGAAGGTCCTGCTCAACCAGTTTCATGATGTGCTACCGGGAACCAGTATTGGCATCGTGTACAAAGACAGTGACCAGCTCTACAGAGAAGCCTTGACTGCTGCTGCGAAGACCAGAGTTGCATGTTTGCCACACATAATGCATGGTAGGAGAGGTGATTGCATTTCTTCTCTCATGGTATATTAAAGTCATGTATTGATATTTTATTCCAGTTTACTTTGTTTTAATGTGTGGTCTTATTTTCTTTTTCTTTTTTTTAAATATTATTATTCTAGAGACATGAGGTCCCCCTTTTTTCTTCTTGATTAGAGTCTGCCCACCAAGGATCCAGAGAGCAAGCTGTGGCAGTGAACACTCTCCCTTGGCAAGTGCATCAGGTCATCAACCTCAAGGAGGACTGCGATGAACCGACCAGGAAGCGCATGCGGGTAGAAGGGGATCTGAATGAGGCTGCTGGTGGAGGCCACTATGTTGCCGTAGAAATGCAAGGCATTGGGTGGTCAAAACTCACCCCCATAAACCCTCCAGCTGTGAAAGTTTGTAAGTGGTTTGTTGACAGATTGGTAAAGTCCTACCACAAATAAATATTTCACTGAGATCATCATCATCGTCATTTTTATTATTATTTATTCTGCATTCCAGGGATGGAAAAAGACACCTTTGTTCTAGAAAACAGCTACATACGAGCAGAGATTAACAAAAATGGGCAAGTGACAAGTCTGGTGCTTGCTGACCACCCAGACCAGGATGTATTTAGAACACCGGATGGGTCACAGTGTGCTGGGAATCAATTGATGATTTACGATGATATTCCTCTGTACTGGGATGCTTGGGATACTATGGATTATTACTTGGAAACAGCAAAGATCTTGAATGAAAAGCAGGTTGGTGGAACCTTTATTGTTATTAGAGCAGATGTTTTTTCTTTTCTTTTTAGTTCTTTTCCATTAAGGGAAAGCTTTGGTTGTAGAAAAATTTAAACATGCATTGGGAATAACCTTGAAGTGGTTCATTTATATAAGCAAATTTTAAAATTTTGATAATTTCAAGCAAGAAATTTAAGCAAGATTTGAATTTCAGTGCTTGTTATGGTATGCAATTTGTCATGTTTATCCTAATTTTCAGAGTGGCTGCATACTGTCAGAAATACAAGTAATTGAGAATACCCCTGTGATGGTGAGACTAGAATGGAAAATGAAGATTAGTGAGGTCTCAGTCCTTAACCAAGAAATATCCCTGTCAGCTGTGAATCCCTACCTAACCTTCCACACACATGTAAATTGGCATGAGAATCGCAAGTTCCTAAAAGTGGGTTTCAACACAGGCATCATTGCACGGGAGGCAGCTTTCGACTCACAGTTTGGCCACTTGTATCGCCCTACTCACACGAACACTTCATGGGACGCGGCTAAGTTTGAAGTGTGTGGCCACAAGTATGTGAAAGTGATGGTTCTGTACAGCTTTGATCTCTTTGTTACTATTGTTATTGTTATTATTTTATTTTATTTTACCTTACGTGTCAACAGTGCAATTATTGCAGATGGGCTGACCTCTCAGAGCATAACTTTGGCGTAGCAGTCCTCAATGACAGCAAGTATGGTTGGACCGCACGTGGTAGCACTCTTAGCCTCTCCTTGCTGCGATCACCCAAAGCCCCCGATGACCGATGCGACATGGGCAAACACTCCTTCAAATATGCTCTTATGCCCCACAGAGGTTAATATTTGGGAGAACTGATATGACTGAAATGTATTTATATATGCACACAATAGGTGTCAATTATTTTTTCCATGGTTTTTAATTCTATTAATTACAGAACTTGATTTGATAAGAAACTGTATATTTTCTAGGAACACTGCAGAGTGCTGGTGTGCCTCAGAGAGCATATGAATTCAACACAAATCTGATAGTTTTCACAGCAAAATTATCGTAAGTAAAGGATTTTTTATTTATTGCATATACTAATTTTTCTTTTAATTTATACCTGTTTCATATCTTCCACATGGAGAGTCTGTCTATCTTGATATATTTCCCTCTTTTAAATTTTTTGTTTTAGATTTAAGTTTCCCTGCACTATGACCAGATTTTTGTATCATTTCAATGTTTTTCTCATTCTTTCTTTTTCCTTTCTTTTCTTTTTCAGAAGAGATAGTGATATCAAGGTGGATTGGTTCAGCGTGATTGGGGAGGGAGTCATGATTGAGGCTGTGAAGCTGGCTGAAGACAAAACTGGGGATGTTGTGGTGCGCCTGTATGAAATGCAAGGGGGAAGCCACAGAATATGGTGAGTGTTGTCCTACCATTGCTATGTGATAAATAGGCTCCTTTTTTGTTATTATTTTTTATGGTTATTATGCACCATTCACTAGGTAGTCTCAAATGCAATACAAAGTTGTGTCCATTCCAGTTCAATGATTCTCCTTGTGCATTAGGACTTAAGAATATTTTTAGTGGTCAGGACTCACATTTACTTTGTTGATTACATACCAGACCAAGGCACAGACTGACCTATCACTGGATAGATAAGTGTGCATTTCTAAATTAGAATATATATGGATGTATATACATTTATATACAAATATATCTCCATATTACTCTTAGATACAATTTTCTGTTATTATATATCATTACCCCCCAATCATTGCAGGTTGAAAGCAACAGCCATTCCTCCTCCAAAAGGTGTCCATCTCTGCAATGGACTAGAAGAATCATATCAGCCACTGCCATTTGATGCCAGGCCAGCTAATGTGGGACAGGATAATAAGTACTTCTATATACCTCTTACCTTCTCTCCATTCAAGATTGTGAATGTTCGCTTCAGATATGCCTAAGTCCCACGTCTATTTTATACAAAACAGGAATCTTTTTAAGCTTCCTGGAGAATTAAGCTCATCTTTTTTTAATGTGTCATACTACTCACTCTTGCATGTGTGTGTGTGTCCTACTGAAGTGTTAAGAGAATGGTAATTATGGCAAAAGATTGAGGTTTATGGAAAGGATAACTGTCTTTGTTTGTTGATTTTTAAGGGAAGTGTGAAGGTTGCAGGATTGGGAAAAGGTGATGGGTGACTTTGAATTAGGTAGTTAAGTTGTCAGCTGTAGTTATAACATGTTGGGGAAATACTGAGGTGTTTTGGTATGGTTGTGTCCATGTTCTGTAGAACTCTGGACAAATACACTAAAAATTATGGTCTATAGGCTAGTGTTATTCTTTGTAAGATTATCAAAAGCACAAATTTGTTGTTGATTTTACTGTTGTTCCTTTAATTTTTATAAAAGATAAGATGTTTGTTGGTAATATGTATTTTAAAGTTATTTGGCATCTGTGATGTTTTTATCATTTATTTTTCTGATTAAACATTAATCTAAATAATCTTATTAAATATAGATTTAATTGTCTGAAGCAAAGATGAAAAAATATGTACAAAAGTGTCTATCATTGCAGATTTATGAAGCTTGTATAAGTTATTCCTGAAATTTAGTGAAAGCAATTTTTCCCCAGTTGTGATGATTATTGATTATCAGTTATCCTTACATTTTACCATTCACTAGTTTGAACTTTATATTTTTATATGTTGAGCTGTCTGTGGTGTAGATATAAAAGCCATCATGTAAGAAATTTTACACATTTTGTACTAACACTGTGAATGAAGGTAAGATTCACTGTCACTGGTGTCATTTATATAATATCATCTTTTACTGAATTTTTTCTATATGAAACAGTTTTGCCAAAAACATTTTTGAAAATGTCAATCCTGTGTTTGATTAGCCTTGTCTTATAGCTCATTATTATCTAAAAGGTGATTATGGTATTAAACAAAATATCAAGAGTTGACCTAAATATATCACAGACATACATGAAGGTAAGATTCACTGTCACTGGTGTCATTTATATAATATCATCTTTTACTGATTTTTTCTATATGAAACAGTTTTGCCAAAAACATTTTTGAAAATGTCAATCCTGTGTTTGATTAGCCTTGTCTTATAGCTCATTATTATCTAAAAGGTGATTATGGTATTAAACAAAATATCAAGAGTTGACCTAAATATATCACAGACATACATGAAGGTAAGATTCACTGTCACTGGTGTCATTTATATAATATCATCTTTTACTGATTTTTTCTATATGAAACAGTTTTGCCAAAAACATTTTTGAAAATGTCAATCCTGTGTTTGATTAGCCTTGTCTTATAGCTCATTATTATCTAAAAGGTGATTATGGTATTAAACAAAATATCAAGAGTTGACCTAAATATATCACAGACATACATGAAGGTAAGATTCACTGTCACTGGTGTCATTTATATAATATCATCTTTTACTGATTTTTTCTATATGAAACAGTTTTGCCAAAAACATTTTTGAAAATGTCAATCCTGTGTTTGATTAGCCTTGTCTTATAGCTCATTATTATCTAAAAGGTGATTATGGTATTAAACAAAATATCAAGAGTTGACCTAAATATATCACAGACATACATGAAGGTAAGATTCACTGTCACTGGTGTCATTTATATAATATCATCTTTTACTGATTTTTTCTATATGAAACAGTTTTGCCAAAAACATTTTTGAAAATGTCAATCCTGTGTTTGATTAGCCTTGTCTTATAGCTCATTATTATCTAAAAGGTGATTATGGTATTAAACAAAATATCAAGAGTTGACCTAAATATATCACAGACATACATGAAGGTAAGATTCACTGTCACTGGTGTCATTTATATAATATCATCTTTTACTGATTTTTTCTATATGAAACAGTTTTGCCAAAAACATTTTTGAAAATGTCAATCCTGTGTTTGATTAGCCTTGTCTTATAGCTCATTATTATCTAAAAGGTGATTATGGTATTAAACAAAATATCAAGAGTTGACCTAAATATATCACAGACATACATGAAGGTAAGATTCACTGTCACTGGTGTCATTTATATAATATCATCTTTTACTGATTTTTTCTATATGAAACAGTTTTGCCAAAAACATTTTTGAAAATGTCAATCCTGTGTTTGATTAGCCTTGTCTTATAGCTCATTATTATCTAAAAGGTGATTATGGTATTAAACAAAATATCAAGAGTTGACCTAAATATATCACAGACATACATGAAGGTAAGATTCACTGTCACTGGTGTCATTTATATAATATCATCTTTTACTGATTTTTTCTATATGAAACAGTTTTGCCAAAAACATTTTTGAAAATGTCAATCCTGTGTTTGATTAGCCTTGTCTTATAGCTCATTATTATCTAAAAGGTGATTATGGTATTAAACAAAATATCAAGAGTTGACCTAAATATATCACAGACATACATGAAGGTAAGATTCACTGTCACTGGTGTCATTTATATAATATCATCTTTTACTGATTTTTTCTATATGAAACAGTTTTGCCAAAAACATTTTTGAAAATGTCAATCCTGTGTTTGATTAGCCTTGTCTTATAGCTCATTATTATCTAAAAGGTGATTATGGTATTAAACAAAATATCAAGAGTTGACCTAAATATATCACAGACATACATGAAGGTAAGATTCACTGTCACTGGTGTCATTTATATAATATCATCTTTTACTGATTTTTTCTATATGAAACAGTTTTGCCAAAAACATTTTTGAAAATGTCAATCCTGTGTTTGATTAGCCTTGTCTTATAGCTCATTATTATCTAAAAGGTGATTATGGTATTAAACAAAATATCAAGAGTTGACCTAAATATATCACAGACATACATGAAGGTAAGATGTAATCTATCTTTTCCCATATTGTGCACAGTCAAAGCAGAAAATACCATACATAGTTATAACTAAATACTCAAAATAAACATTCATTGGCTAGTGGATGATTGTGCTACTCCTATTGTAGTACAACACCCACACACAATACAAGAAATAACAATAAGCAGTGGCATTTATCTTTCTATCTTCCTTCCATTCAGTCTCTCACTTGCTGCCTATTCTTAGATTAGTTTCCAGACTTAGTTATACTTCAGTTATTTTCTTTGTGTATCAAATTATCTTTTCATAGTGCCTGAGTATTGCAATGGGAGTGTCAGAAACTATATTTAGCTTCAGAGAAACAGACTCATTGGTTTGGAGGCAAGTTCAAACTTCAAAGCTGGTTTAGTGTAATAAGGGAGAGCATAAATAATACAAATTACTAATCCCAGAATGTCCCAGTAAGCCCTTTTCTTGAATCTGGAATTCCATAGAATTAGATGGCAATTGTGGTGTTGATAATTTGTGGTGTCCAGCATTCACTCTAAGCATCAATTAACCGTTATTGTTTAATAGTTAATCCAGTGCTCTTTCTGTGTATCTCTCCCTCTTCTTATATGGTGACAGACTGATAGATATAAATGTTGTTACCTGCATTTACAAGTACATTTGAGTAGGAAATCTACTACGGTACTGCTCTTCCCACATATAATATTTATAACTCAGGGAATTTTCATACATATGGATGTGTAGCATCAAAGAGAAACAAATATTTGAAGATTTTATTATCAATAAATAATAAATACACTATAATTTTTTATCTATTGTTTTGTATGTTGATATGGATTAGAAAAATAAGATTGTAGTTACTCAAGTAATATGTAAAATCATGGAAATAAAAAAAAGAAAGCATACAAAATAGGGTAGCCTTTCAGAGTTTTTGCTTCAATTTTCCAGGTATTAGCCCAACATCGCCTCAACAGCCAAATCATTCCAGTAAAATTCGTCATTCATAACCACAGTAGCCCTGTAAGAAAGACATCAACTTTAAAACAAAAATACAAAGCAAAATATTCCATAATGGCAGATGGCAATATTTTCTCCATGAGAATAACTGCTATTGAACCGCAGTTTGTTATTACATGCCAAATCCTCTTTACCTGAAGGTAACGGTTCCAGTCATGTCGACAGGAGCCTCCCAGGTCATCATCTCCACAACCTTCGGATCGCTGTCTGCTTGGTAAGCTGCAGACTGTCAAGTGATAAAATCAGTCAGTGAAATCTCCTAAAGGTTCTCCTGTTACTCCCATTTCATAGACCATCCAGTAAATGTAAGGAGATTTTCATATAAGCAATACATATAACAATCAAAATACTAGATTACGTTTACTCTGAATCTTTTTTCCCTTAAACATGACATCATGAGGTACCGGTATTTCATTCGTCCTTTTTACAAACCTCTTATATGCATCACCAGGCTTTCTCTTCTCTACATGGTTAAAAGCCTAATCAGGGATATATCTTCCTGATGCATTTAACTTTCACCATCTGTTTGGTATTAGTTTCCCCCTGATGACCTTCATATTTCAGACTGGGTGGAACTAATGTTTAGGAGTGAGATGATATATAGTTTCTGATTGTTTCTCACAAAACCACGAAGTATATGTTTTAATAATGAAAAAGAAAGCGAAAAGTTGATTCTTACGTTAAACAATTCGCCAATTTCTGAATACGAGTATAATCTAGCCTACATCAATAAATGTTAAGACTAATCAATATCATTTTTTGAGACAATCAATTAATCTCAATTTCCCAAATACTCATTCTCAATGTTTTAAAAATCAATCTCACTTCTCAACTCATCAATCAACCTTAATAGCTACCTCAGTCCAGTTCCATTAAAAACTAATCATTCACCGACAGTCTATACAACGCTCTACCAACACCAACCAAGCTTCCCATGTTCCCTCCATGACCAGCAACCGATAGATAACCAAAATCAGTTTCATTAAAAACTGATCACTCACCGACAGTTTATACAACATTGTACTAGTCCCAACCAGGCCTCTTTCCCTTGTTCCCTCACATGGCCAGCCGCCCACCGAGACTCGCCCGCGGCAAAGAACCCAAACCCATCGGCCATACTTACCGCAGATCCGCAGTTAATCGTCCTGGGGGCGTTGACGAAGGACCCGATGGGCTGTCCTTCAGCGTTGAAAGCCTCGACGAAGAATGATTCAAACGTCACGTTGGGGTCGAAACCGGTCAAGATCACTGAGGGAAATTAGGTAGGATCATTATTATGATTTTCAGAATTGTAGTTCTTTCTAGATTATTTGCGAGCGAGCGTTGGTGTGTGTGTGTGTGTGTGTGTGTGTGTGTGTGTGTGTGTGTGTGTGTGTGTGTGTGTGTGTGTGTGTGTGTGTGTGTGTGTGTGTGTGTATGTGTGACATACACGTATATCGGAATCTAATAGTGCTCACGATTTGTCTGCAATACCAAATATATTCTTGTCTACTGGGTTAGGTTCCCTTTATTCTCTGCCTCTTTGTATCTCTGTTAATTGAATAATATATCGCTGCTTGGCTGACAAATGTTACCCTGTAATTCAGAACCGCACGCATCAAAATATTAACATTTTTTTCCTCTATATCACTCAACGCCGTGTTGTTAAAAACAGAAAAACAATATCTGAGACTTGACTCAAAAACATACTCCATCCTGCAAGCTTCCTGCAATATCTAAATTGTCGCCCCATTTATATGATGTTTAACATTTATTTTCTTGATTAATAAGCTGTTGAAATAAACATTTAATAACTTCCTCTCTTAGTCTGGCAAGATACTAATCCCTTTTACCAGGTCAGTCAAGAGCATGGTTCTTGTAATGAATATTGGTGAAAACTATTATAGCATTAACGCAATTAGCCTAAATTTACCTTAACCGCAGCTACCATTGCCGGCCGTTTTTCTTGAGACCATAGTCAATCTTATTGCGAGTGCGA